AGATCCTTGATGCTAAATTTGTCATTAAGAAAGCTCTTGGTTTCTTGAATTTTGTTCTCATCATTTCCCGTTATGATTACATCATCAACGTATATGAGGACGGTAACGAAAATCTTCCCAACTTTATAAGTAAACAGGGAATGGTCAACAGTGGATTATTTGTAGTTAAGTTGGAGTAGAGCCAGTGTAAACTTCTGGTATCAGTTTCTCGAAGCCTGCTTCAAGCCATATAATGATTTTCTCAACCGACATACCTTCGCTCCTCCCCCTTTGTCGTAACCTTGTGGAATTCTCATGTATACCTCTTCATTCAAATCGCCATGCAAGAAGGCATTATTCACATCTAGTTGGTGAATGTTCCATTCCCTTTTGACGGTGATGGCAATAAGACTCCTTACGGTCACCAACTTAGCGACCGGGGCAAATGTGTCGTGATAATCGACTCCTTCCCTTTGCGTGTATCCTTTGGCAACGAGTCTTGCTTTGTATCTTTCAACTTCGCCGTTTGGTTTAAATTTTATTTTATATACCCATTTTGAGTCTATGACACGTTTTCCATTGGGTAGATCTTCTATGGTCCAAGTTCCATTCTCTTCAAGGGCTTTTATTTCTTTTTTCATAGCGTCCCTCCAATGTTGATCCTGCACGGCTTGTTTAAAACTTGTTGGCTCATCATTAGAGGCGATAGCCGCAATGAAAGCTTTGTGAGGTTTTGAAAATTTGTCATACGAAACAAAATTAGCAATGGAACATACCGTTGAGGATCGTTGATTGGAATCGGGATGTGCATGGTCTATAGATGGGGGAAGTTCGACATCATAGTCATTGAAACGAACTGGCCTGGTTCTACTTCGCTTTTCCTTGACTTGTCCGACATCTTCATTATTTCTATTTTGGGTCTCATTCACATTTGGTGGAGTGGGTTCGGCACCTTCTAGATTATTTGTGGCTTGTGAATGGGATTGTATTTCAGGCCCATCGTGATCATGCCCATTATTGTTACCAATTGGGTCATTGTCGCCCAGCTCTTCCCTTTCGGCATTTGTCAAGTAATCTTCTGGACTTTCCAAACCTACTCCCTCAACTTGTGTTTCATTGGGTTCAGTAGCCTTGGTGGGCTCATTCTCTTCATCAGGCAAGAATGTGAACATATCATTCTCTTCATGTTGGTTTCCTTTAATACTTGTAGCAAAAGGAGAAACTTTCTCTGCAAATTTTACATCTCTTGATGTGATAATTTTTCCATTGCTTGGATCGAAAATTTTGTATCCTTTCATTATGTTTGGGTATCCCATAAAAACACTCGGCCTTCCTCTTACTTCAAATTTGTCTCCATTCGTTTCAATGCTTCGATAATATGCCAAGCACCCTAGGACCCTCATGTGATCATAGTTTGATTTTTCGCCATATAGTAGTTTATATGGAGTTTTATTTCCAATAACTTTTGAGGGTAGCCTATTTATGATGTATGTGGCAGTTAAGATGCACTCGCCCCAAAATCTTTTCGGGAGGTTGGCTTCAATCTTGAGAGCGCGTGCCGTCTCGAGCAAATGCCTATGTTTCCTCTCCACGACTCCATTTTGTTGTGGAGTATGTAGACACGATGTTTCTAAGATGATTCCTTGTTCCGCATAGAAGTTCATCATTTGGTTAGAAGTAAACTCCCCAACATTGTCACACCTTATCCTTTTAATGTTCTTTTCAAATTGTGTCTTGATCATTTTGTGAAAATACATTAGACACGTGCTTGCTTCATACTTGTGTTTAAGGAGATAAACCCAAATGGCCCTACTATAATCATCAACTATTGTCAAAAAATAGTTTGCCTTAGAAAACGAGGGGGTTCGATACTTCCCCCATATGTCGCAATGTATCAAATCAAAACAAGCAATACTTTTAGTTGTACTAATAGGAAAAGGCTTTCTTTTCAATTTTGACTTTATGCAAGAGTCACAAGTGTCATTGCTATTCTTAAAAGAAAAATTACTTAAAAAATTAATTTGAGATAATTTTTCATCTCCAGTGTGTCCGAGCCTCTTGTGCCACATGTTACTAGTCACCACCATTGCCTTTCTTTTACTAGCAAGCATCCCCATTTGATATAGACCATCTTTGCACCTACCCGCTCCAATCAATTTCCTCGAACGCAAGCCCTGCACAACAAAGAATTCAGGAAAAAATGTCACAACATAGTTATGTCCCTTGAAAGCTTACTAACAGACAGAAGGTTGAATGTAAATTTTGGAACATGTAAGACTTCTTGCATTTTCATCCCATTTGGCAAGGTGTGACTACCCTTTGCCTTAACTGGTACGGTTTTTCCGTTAGGAATGGTCACAGGTGCCTCATTTGTGGATTTGATTATTCCATCAAGGATATTGGACCTGTAAGAAATATGTTTTGTACATCCGGAATCAACAATCCATTTGTCATTGTGTTTTTACTTACCTGTCATGTTTGTAGAACGAGAAGCCTCACTTTGTGTGGTTTTGTTCTCTCCAGCAAAGTGTTTCTGGAACTCCTCATATTGCTCTTTTGTTAGACTGGAGATAAGGTTTGATTAGGTCTCGGCGCATGCCACCTTTGGCTTTCCCTTTTCCCGTTTGTTCTTTCCAGGCCACCATTCCGGAAAACCCACACGCTTGAAACATCGCGAGTGTGCCCGTCCTTTCCACAATGATCACAATGAACCGAGGGCTTCTCATCTCTCTGCCCTGCTCTGATGGGTGGTATATTGTGTTTCACAGTGGCTTGAAAGGCCACCGTTTCATTCACCGGTCTTTTTCCTCCGGCTATAGATCTTTGTTGCTCATCCTCAGCGACCAGGTGGTAAGCATTTCCTAAGGAAGGAATGGGTTTTGTTGCGAGGATTTAGGTTTTGATGTTGGAGAACTCACGATCTAGTCCCATGAGGAACTCATAGAGTTGTTCTTTTTCTCGAATTTCCTTAAGAGATTTTCCAAGGCCACAAGTACAGCCGTTACACTTGCATTTGGGAATAGGGAGAAAAGATTGAATCTCATCCCACAACCCACGTAACTTTGTATAATAGGCTGACACGATCATCCCATCTTGTCTTGTGTTCGAGATGGCTTGCTTTAATTCGTACGCATGCGGTGCACTATCTTTTCCAAACCTCTCTTGAAGGTCTTTCCAGATTTCTGATGCAGTATTTGCATATTTCACACTTCCCCGGATTTCCTTTTCCATGGCTGTGGTGAGCCATCCCTTGATCATTGCGTCACATCGCATCCATGCCATGTAGTTGGCATCATTTGTTTCAGGCTTCTTGATAGTCCCATCAATGAATCCTCTCTTGTTTTAGCAAACAAGAAATTATCCATTTCTTGGGCCCAATCAAGATAGTTGTTGTCGGTTAATGCGTCGTTGACATGCATTTGTCTTGGGTAATCGGAAGGATGGAGGTAGAAGGGGGAGTAGTGATCAGGACTGATTGAATCGGTTTTTGGTTGAGTATTGTTTGAGTCATCGCCAGTCATAGTAGCTTGTACCAACGATGGTTCTTTGGTTCTTGGGTTTTGGATTGAGCGTGATAGATCACTGCTCTGATACCATAAAGGTTTTGTTCAGAAGCTTTTCTGTGTGTATTCACTTCAAAATGTTATAGAGAAGACAAGCCTAAATAGGCAATACAAAAATATAAGAAAAGAAACTCCTAATAAGGAAACAATATACAAGGCAAAACCAATCACAGAATCACGGGATTGAGAGGTAAACAAGGAGAGAAAATCATGCAAAATATTATGAATTCCAATAGAAATTGGTTTGTCATCTGAAATTATGATTTGGAGTTACCTTTTGGACTTCTAAAGAAGTGCCTTATATTCTTCCTCAATATTGATGTTTAGGCACCTTATATACTCTTCAGAATGTGAGACACTTTCTAAACATGTTATATCACAGTAGTTAGTCCTAAAAATGTTTGTAACTTTTGAACCAACATTTCATCGTAATCGCCCATTTAATGGGTATTGTGTGCTAAATACTACATATTTTACTTTTTTACGTATTTAAACATTCCTTACATTTTTTTTATGTTGCTTCATTATTGTATCTAAAAAGTTCGTTATCTTGTAGATTATTATGCACAAAAGCCTAGGTAACCTAAGCATCAGGACAACTTATGGACCTGAGAAAATGAGTTCTACTCGATCAACAATGATATCCAAAAACTTCAATCATTAATTTGCCACCTTCATCTTCTTGTTTTCTTGCACCTTTTTGGTAACGGAATGAACTATAATGTGTTTGAAGTGGCTTCAATGAATCGTCCTTCGTATGAGGCATTTGAAATAGTCATTTAAAATAAACATTTCAGTTAATTTACAAAACATTAATAATTTTAGAAAACATTTTGCGGAAGTTGGTCCTAAATAGTCAAGATTTTAACAATGTCTTTTAAATATCCACACTACTACAAAAAAGCTTATAGGACCCGGTTATTTCAATTAAATAACCCGATTTCGAACCGGGTCCTAAAGCCAACAAGACCTATGTGGAAAAATGAATAGAACCCAGTTTTAAAACCGGCTCCTATCCAACACAAAAGAAACCGGTTGTTCATAAAACTGGGACATATAAGAGGAACATAACGCCCAATCTTTGGTCAAATATGAAGATTAGGCCACGGTCTAAGCATACAAAACCAGGTCATATATGGCTAAAAGAGCCCGGTTCCAATCCTCAAACCGGGTCATATAAAGATTAAATATGGACCGATTCCATTCATGTAACCGGGTCTTTTTTCAACCTTGCAAAAACCTACTAGTGACCGTACCACCAGAAAGCATGGTTATAAGTATTAAATTTTTGACAAATTTATTCAAATAACCATATAAAAACACAAATTGATACTTGCATCCAAAGCACACATTCAAAACAAAACAAAAATTATGAATTGATGAACAAATTATATTAATATAAACATACTAAATAACCAATCATTATAGTCATGGATAAAAACATACTTAAGTGTTTCT